GACAAATTGTCTTAATTGCATAATCTAGAAACTATGCTCTTAATCGAATTATTTGGACAAGTAATCTAGAAAATGCTAAATTACATATTGATAACAAACTCATATGTGACCATCTTGTAGATGCATCTATTAAAGCCATAAAATATCTGAATAGTCCACAGGTGGATGGATAGGTCCACAAATTTTCCCTTGGATATGTTCAAGAAAAGTAAGAGATTCAATTCCCACTTTTGTAATTGAAGGTCTTTTAATTAATTTTCCTTGAGAACAAGCAGCACATGAAAAATCCTTAAATTGAAGAATCTTCTAGTTCTTCAATGGATGTCCATGTGAATTTTTAATAATTCTTCGCATTATAATTGAACCCAGATGGCCTAACCAGTCATTCTAAACAATAAATATATCTTGATTCGTAAACTTCTTGTTGATTATTACATTTATTTCAACTGTTCTAATAATTGTGTAGTACAAACCAGAAGATAACGTGGATAATTTCTCTAGGACACATTTCTTTCCAGATCTAAAATTTGTAATGTGTAGATATTCAATATCTTTCTCACTTGTAGTCTCAATATGATACCCATTTTAGCGGATATCTTTAAAACTTAATAAATTTCTTTGAGACTTAGATGAATATAATGCGTCATCTATAATAATTTTGTTCCTTCGGGTAATATTATAATTGCTCTTCTGAAGCCATCAATTAATTTAGTATTACCCACTATGGTATTGACGCTTCCATCTCTTATGTTAAACAAGTAAAATATTTTTTATCTTTAAGTATAGTGTATGTTGTAGCACTATCCATAAGACATATATCTTCATTCTTGTGTCCAATGAAAGAAAAAGAAATATCCACATTCTTCAACAAAAGAAAGAGAATGTATTAAAATAAATACTTAATAAAATGAAATTTATTCATAGCAATAATGATTTTATTACAAGAAAACAAGAAAGCTAAATGAAACATAACCTAAATTACAAGAAAACAAGAAACATAAATGAAACATAATCCAAAAATATAATCCAAATTATTTTAATTATTTTTCAACCAAACTTGTCTCATCGTGATTTTCAAAGAAATCATCTACCTCCAAGAGTGTCATGGCATCAAGGCCATTAATATCATCCAACTCATTGATATCATCATTTTTATATGCAAAATGTGCCTCAACATCATTTTGAAAAGTGAAATTTGATTCCACATTATTTGAATTTCTTTTGATGGAGGCTTGATAAAACTTTGCTAAATGCTTAGGGGTACGATAGGTAAGTGACCAATGCCCTTCATACCACATCGACAACACTGATTTTCAATAGCTTTTCAAGGCCTGCTCTTATCTATTTTTTGCCTTTCATTATTTTTCTTCTTTTGGTAGGTATTAGGATTATAACTAGTTTCACCACCACCATTATAATGGTAATTAGCACGTCTCCTACCACAACCATATCCACGGCCACGGTCATAACCATAACCACGACCACAGTAATTACTACGTATAGTCACATTCGCTTTAGGTAATGGAGCTAATCCAGTGGGACAGATTGCATGATTTTTCATCAGCAGCTTATTATTTTGTTCAGGCACAAGAAGACAAGAAATTAATTCAGAATACTTTTTAAAACCCTTTTGATGATATTGTTGTAGCAGGAACACATTTGAAGTGTAAAAATTTAAAAATGTCTTTTCTAATAAGTTCTCATAATTGATTTTCTCACCATATAATTTCAATTGAGAACTTATTTTAAAAACTGTTGAATTATATTCACTTACAGTTTTAAAATCTTGCAACCTCAAATGCATCCATTCATATTATCAATTCTAATGGATCTTTAAATGTAAGGTATTCAGCTTTTGGCCCCTCATAAAGATGATGATGAAGGAATATCATTGCCTTAGCCTTATCTTGACTACTTGCTTGATTTTTAGGTAAAATTGCATTTCCTAGACCTTTGGCGTCTAGATGAATTTCAATATCTAGCACCCATGATAGATAATTCTTTCTCATAATATCAAGAGCCGTAAATTCAAGTTTGATAAGATCTGTCATGATTCAAACTAAAATAATAATGACAATTAGAATTATAACAAAATTAATAAATAAAGCATATTAAATAAATACTATAGTAAAAAAACATATTTCACACACACATGCTAAAATATAATTTACAATAAAACAAAATAGAAAGAGGCACAATATAAAGAAACACAAATATAAATAACCAAACTTACTAAACAAATAAAGCATAATAAAGATAAAGAAATACAATAAAGCAAATAAATTGATGGATAAAATAAATAATTTATATGATAAAACAAATTATGTTAACAACATAAATTGATCAACACACACACATAAACAAAAACAAAATGTATAATATGTATATATAGTATTAATTTAATGGAAGACCAAAATAATAATAAAAATAACAATTAAATAAATAAATAAAGCAATGAATAATAATAATAATCATGATGATGACATCAAATACATAAATATAAAGAAAGAAAAATAAGTATATCAATCCTCATAAAAAATATATAACAAAAAATAGTAAAAATAAAGCAATGGATGTCAAATGGGACTTGATTAAATTAAATTACTGATCACATGATTATTTTTACATGAATAAAATAGAGAAATTTAAAATTACTTTATAACTAGGAAAATGAAATGATAGGAAACTAAAATAATAAAATATAAGAACAACATAACCATGAATGTTAATAAAACAATAATATAAAATATAGTTATATATATAATATAAGAACACATTAATCTAACTAAAAGCTCATACCTTATTTTCAAAGCCAAATCTTGCTAATAATGTGTCGTAAATATATTTAATGTGAAGAGTAAAGAAGGAAAAGACAATACAAGAAATAAAGAAAAAACAATGGAGGGTACATATGCTTTGGATATGACCTCTATTTATAGACCTCCAACCATTCAAGTCTTATCCTAATGTTACAAAGGTATAATAAGGCATATAATAATATATTATGTAACCTTTGAAGGTTATAAGCTATTAAAACTAAGAAACGGTTATAAGCTATTAAAACTAAGAAACTCCTTCCATGCCATTCATGAGGACATTAAAGATAAAGAAATCTTAAGGGCTATGAGTTATGAACATCCATAATATAATAATTATAATACATATAACATATTTAAGTAAATATTTTCAACCAAACACTAATTACTTTTTTGAGTGAAAAAAAAGTTTCATATGCTTCAATCTCAAATATAATTTCACACGTACACCATGCATTGGGGAAACAATTCAGATAATCATAATCTAATTGCATTTACTACCTCCGTTTTTTATTATAGGAGAAACTATATCATGTGTTTCATTATTTTTGCATAAGAAAAATTATAAATTGAAAAAATATTTATCACACATTTTCCTCAAATTTCCCTTTATAAAATTAGAGTAATTTATTTATGAGAAAAACTTAATTCCTTCACATATTAAAAGTTAGGGTTAATGTATAATTTTATCCCTAAACTATTTTCAGAGAAGCAATGTTTTCCTTAAATTACTCATTGTAGCAATGTTACCCCTAAACTGATTAAATTGAAGCAATGTTGCTCTCGTCATTTAAACATTCATAGCTAATGGGACTTACTTTTCATGAGTTAAGGTGCAATTTTGCCCCTTAATTATTTTCAAAGGAGCAATATTACTTCTAAACTAATTAAATCAAAGCAATATTATCCCCGGCATTTAAAAGTCATAAACGTCCGTTAACTAGAGAAAGATGATGAAAAATACTTTTTATATTAGTGCCATTCCATTCACATCCTTTCTAACATCCAATATTTATGTGAAAGCATTTATCTATGTCATGATATTCTTCACCAACATTCCAACGAGTCCTAAACTATACATTGAGAAGATACTTGATGTTGGTACTAATTTTCTTTAGTGGCAAATATAATAATATTTGAAGTATAAATTCATACTTACAACATTACAAGAGGAGCTCTTAATCCAACAAAAAGCATATAAACAACATTTCTAGGTAAAAAGGTCATTTTTTATTGTCTTGAGTGGATCAACTTATAAAATTAACTATCATAAATAAATAGACTCTCTTATATGCATTATAAACAAAAAGAAGCCTATACATAGAGTATCATAAAGTGGTTACCCAAAAACTAATTTAGCAACTGAAATGCCACAGTCTAGTTGAAGTCTTGACCAGATTCAATATTAACTAGAGAGAGATAATGACAAGTAGGTCTCAGTAGTTATAATTAATAGATGTTTATGATTTTTAAATGGTGAGGATAACATTGCTCTTCTAAAAATAGTTCAGAGAAAAAATTGTATCTTAACTCATGAAAAAATGGGTCTCACTGGTTATAGTTAATGGACGTTTAAATGGCGGGAGTAACATTGCTGCGATAAATAGTTTAAGGGCAATGTTACTCCTTTGATAATAGTTTAGAGGTAAAATAATACCTTGACCCTAAAAATTAATCATAAGAATATTTTAATCTAATTTTTTTAATTTCAAATATGATTGTTATGTTTAACCAACTTTTTAAAACTATATGATGAGTTGGAAAAAAATTGCTTACATTTAAATACGGGTGATACATATCAATAATTTTAAATGGGACCTCATTAGATAACTAAAACATTGTTCTCCAAGCCAAATTTTTGTTCTTAGTTGATTGAATGTCATTTGTATACATCAAAATAATTAACGCATAAAATTAGAAAATTAAAAAATAATAAATAAACTTATCCATTCAAAAATAGAGAACAATAACTTAGTCAGAGGACGATTTCCTAGGGTGTATCCCTATGGCAATACTTCTACTTCGAACTCGATTGAAGATTAAAGACTTCTAATTTAGGAAACCATAACTGTTACTTTGACACCTCTAAAAACCCACAATGCTCTTCTATATATACGCACACAAGTTCTTCATTGTAAGAAAGAAAAAAATAAAACTTCCTCTAGCTTTTCTCTGATCCTTTTCATACAAATTGTATATATACACACACACAAATTACCCCACAAGAAATAGGTTTAGAGCTAGAACATACACAGTATATATTATTAATCTGAAAACTACTTGCAAATTCAAAAATGGCGGGTGGAGTTTATATTGATCAAGGTCAAGCAAGGCATTATGACGGCAACGTGACGGCATTCGTGCTCGTTACGTGCTTCGTGGCGGCCATGGGAGGTCTTCTGTTTGGTTATGATCTTGGAATTACAGGAGGAGTGACGTCCATGGAGCCATTCTTGGCCAAGTTTTTCCCATCGGTGTATAGACAAATGAAAGCTGGCTTGCATGAGAACAACAACAACAACAACAACAACAACAAGCCTTTATCCCACTAGGTGGGGTCGGCTACATGGATTGCAAGACGCCATTGTGCTCTATCATTTATTAAGCTTTTAGAAATATTATTAATTAGCTTGCATGAGAACACGTATTGTAAATTCGATAACGAGATCCTTACATTGTTCACATCCTCATTGTACATTGCAGCATTGGTTGCTTCTTTCTTTGCTTCTGCCACTACAAGAATCCTAGGACGTAAACCTTCAATGTTCTCAGGTGGATTGTTTTTTCTTGCCGGTGCTCTGTTGAATGGCTTCGCAGTAAACATTGCAATGCTTATCATTGGCCGTGTTTTGCTTGGCTTTGGTGTGGGATACTGTAATCAAGTAAGTAATTAATTGTTATAGCATCGCCTTTTTAAATGCTTCCCTTCATGTGTGGCACGACATAACAGTGACGGATCTAGAGAAGCATACGAGGGGTAAAATTGAATATCTTTAAAATGTGGGGGCATAAAAATAATTTCCCCAATTTTTACAAAAAAAATTTAAGGAGCAAATGCAATAGTAGTTTTGTCAAAAATTAAAAGTAGGGAATGTAAAATTTACAACTTTGTACCCTTATTCATAATATTTTGAACACCTAGACTAAATAAAAAATATTTAGATTCAAAAGTTTATTAGACATGTAATATATTAATGATAAGTTAAGATATGAAGGTCATATTTAGTTATATATCAACTTGTTAAATATAATTTTTTTAAAAAAAGATAATGATCAGTTTATTTATGTTATTATAATTTTAGTCATAAAGTAGTTATTATTTTTAACTATTAAATTATTATTTTTGAAAAACTATTAATTTTTAAAATAAGTCATCTTGGATCCTGACTTAACTTAGGGACTTGGTTTCACTACTGGCACCACTACAAATAACTGACGTAGAATGTATTTGTTGCAGTTATGTGGCCAATGGAGGGGACAAATAGTGCATCATTAGACAAGAAGAATTTCAATCAATTTATGTTTTATAAAAAATAATAAATTAGGAATTCAAGGATCTCAATTTTAGAGGATTTGCTTCCGTCTTAAAATCATCAATATTGTAATTTATTATTTAGGAATGGAAATTGACTACTTAACGGGTGAGAGAACAAAAAGACAAAATTAGTCAGATGACAGTCTATTTTAACTGAAAATCTCAAAATTCAAGTTTATAGTATTTTTAATTATATATTAATTATTTAACCCAATTTTATCCTGTGAGATTCAGGTCTACTCTGCACTCTAAAAATCTAATAATTCTTTCATATCTATTTTCACAGTCTGTTCCGGTGTACTTATCTGAAATGGCTCCGGCAAAGATTAGAGGGGCACTGAACATGGGATTCCAAATGATGATAACAATTGGTATTTTGATCGCAAACCTTATAAACTACGGCACTGCAAAGTACAAACACGGATGGAGGATTTCGTTAGGTCTAGGAGCAGTGCCTGCATTTTTGCTGTGTTTAGGATCACTGTTCTTGAGCGACACACCAAACTCCATGATTGAAAGAGGCAAACACGAAGAAGCCAAAGCAATGCTGATCAAGATTCGAGGAACAGAGAACGTGGACGACGAGCTTCAAGATCTGATTGATGCGAGTGAAGAAGCTAAGCTAGTAGAACATCCATGGAAGAACATATCACAACCTAAATATAGACCTCAAATTACTTTTTGCTCTTGTATTCCATTTTTCCAGCAACTAACAGGCATCAATGTGATCATGTTCTATGCACCAGTTCTGTTTAAGACTCTTGGATTTGGTGCTCAAGCTTCACTCATGTCAGCAGTTATTACTGGTGTTGTCAATGTCGGAGCCACGTTTGTTTCTATACTCACTGTTGATAAGTTTGGAAGAAGGATTTTGTTCCTTGAAGGTGGCGTCCAAATGCTTGTTTGCCAGGTATATGTACAAGAAGTATTTCACATAGGCCAAATTATAAAATACTTATAAACAAAATTACATATACCAATAAAGTATATTAAATATACTTTACAACTTTATTTTTTAAAAAATAAGAATATAAACTTTTAAAAATTCCTTTCATTTAATACTCTATTTGTAAAAAATGTTAAATAAAGAGCATATATAGAAAGGATAATATTAAAAAAATATTATTAATGAAATTTTATTTTTATTAAAATCTTTTATATGTTGAGACACTAAATTTTCTCTTAAAGTATGTTATAATTTAGGACCAAAGGAAAAATCATCATAATTGTTTCATTATATTTGTCGTTCAAGGTTATTGTACATGGATTAAAAAATATAACAAATAAGTAGAAAATATATGGCATATCTTATCAAGTTTGCCCCACATTATATACCGTATTTTAATACCTCTAAAACCATGCAGCAGGCAGTAGCAGAATATTGCTGTAAGGGTAAAATAAGAAAAATGTCATAAACTAAACATTTTTGTTTTGTAGTCTAAAATGACATATATGAAACAATTTTTTTAGATGGCCCTATTTAGATGACCCCATTTTTTTCCCAAGATGACAAATATAATGAAATGGAAGTAGCAGTAGACATATAATTATTAAAACCTTAAAATTTTTTCAACTTTGCCCTTCTTTAATATTCTTTCTGGTCCTTAATATAAAACAAACTTAATCAACTTCATGCTTATTGACAAATAGTATATATATTCTTGAAATTGTTAAAAAAATATGTAACTTTACAATTTTGCCTCTTTGCAATTAATAACTATAATAAAATGTTATCTATGAATTTAAACATTAATAAATAAACAAAGGGCAACACTAGTAAACATTAATTACTCTAACTTTGCTATATATTAAAGACCAAAAAAACTCTTAAAATTTGCCTTATATTAAGTACCGAATGGAGTGCTAGTTATTAATTAAAATGTTATCAAAACAAAATAATGGGAGGTAAGTAATTCATATACTTTTAGGGGAATTTTATGTAAAAAGATATTAATAATTTTCCTTAAAATTTCATAAAATACCTTATATATTGAAACACGATCCTTAATTTCTGAAAAAAAAAAAGATTCTCATTTAAAAGGGAGGTGGCACGGGTATGTGTGTCTATATATATATATATATATATTTTACATCTAACCAAACGTTACTGTTCTTATATATATAATATCAAATGCCTCGTCCTGCATGCATGTTAAAATCTCTCTGGCAATTCCAAACTGTGCTGATACATTTCATTTAATTAATTGCTTCCAGGTTGCAGTTGGAGTGATGATAGCTTTGAAGTTTGGAGTGAGTGGTCAAGGTTCATTTAGCAAAGTAGAGGCTGATGTTCTTCTAGTCTTAATATGCGCATATGTTGCAGCATATGCTTGGTCTTGGGGACCTTTGGGTTGGTTAGTGCCAAGTGAAATCTGCCCTCTCGAAATCCGATCGGCCGGCCAAGCCGTGAACGTCGCTGTCAACATGTTCTTCACCTTCATCATTGCTCAGATCTTCCTCCTCATGCTTTGCCACTTGAAGTTTGGTCTCTTCTTCTTCTTCGCTGGCTTTGTCCTCATCATGACCATTTTTGTTGCTCTGCTCCTCCCAGAGACCAAGAACGTGCCCATTGAAGAAATGCACCTTGTTTGGAAGTCACATTGGTTTTGGGGCAAGATTGTTCCCGCCAGTAGTCGCATGGCTTCACCTAATGTTCTTGGCTACAATAACCGCAAGCCTTGAAGTTGATTTCAAAAAAAAAAAAACATAAGAAGAAAGATTATATAATTAACATACACTGATGAATCATAAGTGTGAGAAGAATCAGGAGACGTGGATATAGATGTGACTTGATCTTTTTCAAAGTTCATACATCTATCTTTCGCAAATAATAAGTTTGCTTTTATGTGTATAGAGTTGTATATGATTCATGAAAATTACTTGTGTATATTCTTCAATAAACTTGTACACAAAACGTAAGTTTCATCATAGAAATACAAGCAAGTCGTGTTCGATCTACATACCTTCTTCTTTTGGTTACTTTGTTACATGTTAATGCCGAAACTCATGACAAGTGATGGGTTAGAGAATTAGACGTATTAGATTGGTAGAAAGAACAATCAACATCACTTTCCAATTCTTTTAAGAATTGTTCCGGTAACTACATTTGCTAGTAAATCTAAAGTCCATAGAATGGGTTTGGTTTGTTGGGCTTCTATATGTTTAAGCCGGAAATTAGGTAGGGCTTAAGCATTGACTTTTCATCAATGTCTTGCTCAGTTATGCAATTGTGGGTAGAAAATTGGCACTACTAAATCTAAGCTCTATTACTCCAAGAATACCAATATTAATAGAGTCTTGCATATTAGTGATGATTTGGAAAAATCCCCTCACCAGAAAATATTGGCAAATATCTCAAGATTCTTATCATTCATGGGCCTCCAAGTTAACATTTGCTCCGCTAACCGAAAAAACGAAGTCACATATGTCTACCTGGAAGGGCATCTCATCACTGCTGAAAAAACAGTCCTCATAAATCCTGTTCTTTTAGCTCTTCTCAACTACATCATGCAGACCATGCTTTTACCTTAATTATTATCTCAGCATTGTCGTTAAGCTTTTGGGTATCCTCATAAAGCCTCAGCATTTGTTAGAATAGCAAATTCACGAAAAGTTAATGTCTATATTAACTCTCTTAATGCTATCATGATTATCTAGCATGATTTCACAACAAATCACCCTCTCGTCGAAACTACCAAAATCAAGAAACTTGCCATGAGATTGACTAGACAAACCTTTGACCACATGTTTAAAAAAGCTCATAAATATATGGATTAGCTTGCTTTGTAAACCACATGTCTGAAATATTAGCCACCTTTTGGAACATTAAATACATTTTTCTTGGAATGTCCCTCATTAATTGTTAAACAAGAAACTAAGGTTGGGATTTCAATTATGGTTTTTTCATATTTTCTCAAAACTCCTCTATTACTTAAGTCAAATATGAAAAAATATATTTTAATACATGATACATTAGCCCAACTAAATTTAATTATTTGATTAGTTTGTGTAAGGTAGGTATATATTCGGTATTTTATTATTTAATTATCTCATATGCATCTATGTTTTTTAATTAAAAAATCATGAATTAAAATGAGATAATTAAACAACAGATTTTAAGTTTGGTTTATTAACTAAAATACATTTTTTGTTTAAAAGAAAAAAAACGTTTTTTTTTCATTGAACTTCATACTAAGATTCACTTTTATCTCTTAACTAGACTTTTCCCCCGTGCTATTAGCTCTTAGTTCGGATGGTATAGAATAAAAAGAAAATAAAATTTTAACTTGTTACATTTGTTAAAAAAAATAGGACAAATGAAATGAAAATTTTTAATATGGATAAACTGTAAAAGAAAAAATAAGTAAAATTAAATAAAATAATTCAGAAGAATTAAGTAGAAATGAGATATGATTCATGAAAAGGATAATATCAAGATAAATGTGAAATTAACTTATCTCACTAAAATGAAGACTTTATTTTTGGTTTTGTTTATTTAATTCATTACGTTCATATTCCTTCTATTAACTAAACGACTCTTAAAACTATGAATTACAATTTATTTTATTGTACAAATTATTACTTTTTACATATTAAAAATATAAGCAATAAAATATTTTATTTAGAACTTATTATTCTATATAAATTAAAATTCTAAAAATAAAAATTGTCTCATAAGATTGCATAACAACTTTATTTTTTACAAATTTTAATTCTAGTGTAGGTTACATGCATATTTTTTTTATTATACTCCCTCTATTTAAAAATACAAAGTATTTTTTGAAGAGTTGAATGTTAATAAATATAAGGCATTTGTAGTCTTTTGAAGTGTAATCATTATTTTTTTTTATAGAAAAGCCCTTATTAATGAATGACTTTATATTTATTATAGAGTATTTAATAGAAATAAATATAAAAAGATAAGATCAGTTAGAAATTAGGTAACTACTTTATTAAAAAGTGAGATTTAATTAAAAATACCTTACGTTTTTTAACAGAAGGAGTAATTTTTATATTTACAATTTATTTTTTATTTGGTCCCGATATATCTTTTTATATTGTGAGGTGCTCACTATCATTTAATTTTGTTTACTATATCATATTTTTTTAAAATAATTTATTATGAAAAAATTTAAAAAAAAAAAAGAAGATGAAGAAAAGTCAGGTGAGCACCGTTGATCTACAGAACCTATCCAACCATAATTATTATATATTATAGATATAGATTATATGTTATAGATTTTATTTAGTTTTAATAATTTAATGCATTGATGTTGTCTTAAATTTCATTTTTATCCCTTAATTACCCCTTATGACTTTTTATTTCAAGGAAGTTTTAGTTTAGAATTATATATTTATGTTACTTTAATTTTGACATGTATATATTACCGCTTTAGTTTTGACGATGATTTCGAACCAAAAAATAATAATAAAAGTTTAGGCATAGAAGTGAAAGTAAAATAATCGAAAGCATAGATAAACTATAATTCCTAATTAAGTAAAAGGATACAAGTCTCTCTGGAGAAACAAACTTCATATTAGCAAATCAAAGTGATGTGCAAGCTCCGAAAAAGAACTGAATGATTTATTCAGTTTTTCGACATCATCTGAAGATTATTGACTTTAATTTTTTTTTTTATTGATTTCAACAATTCTTTTCACTTGTCATGTTATTATATATCCAACATGAAAATCTCTCTCCATTTAGCAACTTCATGGATTGGTCTTCTGATCGTGACTTTTTGTGTCAACGTCAAGAGGAACAAACTTGTTCCAGAACCAGTGTGACTTCCACACTGAGTTCATTTCTTCAATTGGAACACCTTTGGTCTCAGGAAGGAAGAAAGTGATGAAAATGGTCATTATGACAACAAAAGCAGCGAAGAAGAAGAAGAGACCAAACTTCAAGTGACAAAGCATGAGCAAAAATATCTGAGCAATGAGAAATGTGAACACCATATTCACTGCAACATTAATGGCTTGCCCAGCAGATCTGATCTCCAAAGGACACACTTCACTTGGCACAAGCCATCCCAATGGTCCCCAAGACCATGCAAATGCTGCGACGTATGCACATATCAAGAACAATAGCAAGTCTGCTTCACCTTTACTAAATGAACCTTGTCCACTCACTCCAAACTTCAAAGCTATCATCACTCCCACAGCAATCTGAAAGCAATACAAGTTCTAACATGTCAGTACTTAGAAAATCTGAAAGAGATATAAATATAATATAATAGATTCTTTAATTGTATGTTACCTGGCAAACAAGCATCTGGATGCCACCTTCAAGGAAGAGAATCCTTCTTCCAAATTTATCAACAGTGAAGATAGAGACCAGTGTGGCTACAACATTAACGAGTCCTGTAATAACTGCTGACATGAGAGATGCTTCAGCACCGAAGCCAAGAGTCTTGAAAAGGACAGGAGCGTAAAACATGATGACATTGATGCCTGTAAGTTGTTGGAAGAATGGAATCAAAGTGCAGAAAGTGATTTGGGGTCTGTATTTAGATTGGGCAATGTTCTTCCATGGGTGATCCACTTGCTTGGCTGCTTCACTGGCACTAATCAGATCTTGAAACTCGTCATCAACGTTCTCGATTCCGCGAATCTTCTGCAACATTTGCTTAGCTTCTTCTTGTTTGCCTCTTTCAATCATGGAGTTTGGTGTGTCACCCAAGAAAAGTGATCCCAAGCACAACAAAAATGCAGGCACTGCTCCAACACCCAATGAAATTCTCCATCCATTTTCATACTTAGCAGTTCCATAGTTGATAAGGTTTGCGATCAAAATACCAATAGTGATCATCATTTGGAACCCCATGTTGAGTGCTCCTCTGATAGTTGCCGGAGCCATCTCAGATAAGTATACAGGAACAGACTGTCATAGTTGAAAAGAAAGTAAGTTATGTTAAAATTTAAAAAAAAAAATGAAGCACTTGAAAAATGCCATTGTGCCAACGACTAGTCTAATGGTATACTGTTTGGGGAGAGGTTGCTTGCTCAATCTCACATGCTACTCTATATTTGAGATAAAAAAAGCCTCATATTTTAAAAAATAGATTATGAATATATAAAACTCAGATGTGTCTAACCAAAAAAGTTTAAACTACTTTGATAAAACATACTATTTTTAAGCATATTTATAAAGATTCTAATATGGAATCAAGAGCCATTCAATATGGACAAAAAAATTGAAGAAAAAGAAAACAAATGAAAGAAGAAAAAGATTAAAGAGGAAGAGAAAAAAAATTGAATGGACCTGAGACCTCTAAAAACATTAAAGATAAAAAAATCTCACGTTTAGAAATTAAAAAATAGATTATAAATATATAAAATTATTGGGATGTGCTTAACCAAAATGATTTAAGCTATTTTGGTTAAATAAACCATTTTCAAGGATACTTAATATAAAGATTCTAGCATCTACCTCTGGTAATTCCAAAAAAAAACAAAATGTTAGACATGCAAACGTTGATTACGTACTTGATTACAGTAGCCCACACCAAAACCAAGCAATATACGACCAATGATAAGCATTGCGATGTTTACTGCGAAGCCGTTCAATAATGCACCAACAAGGAAAAACAATCCTCCAAGGAACATTGAAGGTTTACGACCCAGTATTCTTGTAGTGGTCGAAGCAAAGAAAGAAGCAATTAATGCTGCGAGGTATAAGGACGAGGTGAACAATGTAAGAATTTCGTCTTCAAATTTGCAGTATGTGTTCTCATGGACTCCAGACTTTATTCTTTTGTATACAGATGGGAAAAACTTGATCAAGAATGGATCCATGGAAGTAACTCCTCCTGTAATCCCAAGATCGTAACCAAAGAGAAGACCTCCCATGGCTGCCACGAAACATGTGACCAACACGAAGGCTGTGACTTTGCCCTCAAAATGCTTGACTTGACCTTGATCAACCAAACCACCTCCTGCCATTTTTCAATTGATTGAGCAATCACTTCAAACTTATTTATTTGAAGCTCAATCTTGTTTAACTATTACTTCTTCAAGTACTGTATTTTTTTTCTCTCTTCTTCAACTCGATGTGAGTTGTGGCTTATATAGTATTTGATGTATGTGATCCAAGAAGTACGAGAAGTCAGAGTTTTGTTTACACAAAGATGGTCCTATTCAACGTCGTTGTGCCTTTTTACGACATGTTGTATGGTCATATTTTCCTAAATTAGCAGGTCTTTTTACCCGAGTTCGTTGTTGAAGTTCTGCCACATGGATATTTTCTATAAAAAGGAATGTCGTTTGACGAGCCCATTTCTATTTTCGGGTTGATAATCTTGTTCTTGTTATTTTTTATTATTTGATAATTATCTTGAGACAAGTTAAATATTTTGTTCTAACAGTCTCTATTTGCAGGGTGTGGTTGAGTAAGGGACGGATCGATGCTCATTGTCAATTTTCACTTTAATTTATTTTATTTAAATTTTTATTACAAAAGAAATTTTAATTATTTATATTTTTGTCTCATAGAAAGAGGGATTATGCAAAAACATCCATAAATACCATCTTTTTTGACCAGAACTCCATAAATACCATCTCAAGAACATACAGAATAAAAAGAAAAATGAAGTAGAAACTCTCACATTAAAAAAAAAAAAAGAGTTGAAACTATAAAATTCGCATTAGTTTGTGATTAACGTGGATTTTGATTGTTCCGGTCTCACACAGGCCTTTCATGTTTTATCTGAAAACTAAAAAGGGTTACCTGTGGAATTATAAATTCCTTGAGCCTCCTCCTTGCTCAAAAGGATTCAAACAAGTCAATCTACAATTCACAGCACTAATTCCATCAATCACTAACTTAAAACATATATTTCTATCCATTTTCAACTAACCCTAACTCATAAATCTCATTTCCCCAATATCCCAATGACTTTTAACTGCTTATTAGCTTCATTTAATTCCCATTAGGTTGATTAACATCATTTTATAGTTCACATTACTCACAATCATCAATTTCATCATTAGGGTTCTTTTAAACATCAACCCCTACTTACAAATCACTGCATAAACCCTAACCCTAAGTTTAGAAACTTAAAATAACTTTCAATGGCTTAATTCATTGAAACCAATGGGTTCGGTCACAAGTCTCCCATTTCAAAAAGCATCAATAATTTCTTCCCCAAAAACCCAAAGCAATCACTAGTCTCAAATCACCTCCAAGGGATTGAAAATGGTGTGCCTTAGCTCAACTCTCCGTTCTCTTTGCGTCCCTCCTGATTCCTCTGCTCTTCTCATTTCTCAACATTCAAATCTAGTACATAAATCAGGTTTTTTAACATTTCACCATGATGCATTGCATCCACCATGCGGATCTGACAAAGGCCCAAGCCCACATTTTAGCTGCTCCAATTGGGCCTAGGTAGCCCAATGCAGTTCCTAACCCCATTCCTAGGTTGTCAACAAGTCCAATGAGTCCAATAGCTATCAAGAAAGATCATTAGCTTAATTAATGCAACAAATTACTAATTTACCCTTCATTAATTTTTAAATCTAGGATTAAAAATTTAGAATATTATACCTTAACTGCTGCAGGGATTTATATGTGTCACTCTATTTGAAGCTTGAACATTGAGCTATATATCACCCACACTTTATGGAAATATATACTTTTTTGTTTTCCATTAATTTTATAACAATTCAATTAATGAATACTTTTGTGATATAGTTGAACGACATGTATCCCTAAACAATTCAAATTATCAATATGAAATTACACTCGCACAATTAATTTTATAAAACAGTATTTCTTTTAGAATATATTGCAAACACATGGTATCTTCCATGCACTAACTTTCTACTCTTAAGTTGGAATTTAACTTGTTATGTCAAAATATAATTATCAATTAATATTAATATTAATATTAATAAAAAGTCATCGATTCATCAAAAATAGGAAACAACTCGTGCTCAAGACTATCCCTATTATGGAATAAATCTCTGTGGCAGTTCACCGAAGTCGGGTAGAAAGAACTCCTAATTCAGGAATTGATGACCGAGTGCTATGTCGTAAAAGGCACAAAGTAGTTGAATCGGATCAACTTTTTTGGAAACCAACACTTACTTTTCGCACTTGTTCCATCACATCAAATCCTATATAAGCCATATCACAAACCGAGGAGCAGAACAAAACAAATACAAACAACATTGAATAATAGAGGGAAAAAAAATATCCAACATTATTATTATAAGCTTGAAATAAGTGATCGCCAGTTTCAAATATGGCAGGTGGTGCTTTTGTTGATCAAGGTCAAGTTAGCCATTTTGAAGGCAAAGTCACAACCTTCGTGTTGATCACATGTTTCGTGGCAGCCATGGGAGGTCTTCTCTTTGGTTACGATCTTGGGATTACAGGAGGAGTCACTTCCATGGATCCATTTTTGATCAAGTTTTTCCCATCTGTGTACAGAAGAATAAAGTCTGGAGTCCATGAGAACACGTACTGCAAATTTGAAGACGAAATTCTTACGTTGTTCACCTCGTCCTTATACCTCGCAGCATTGGTTGCTTCTTTCTTTGCTTCGACCACTACAAGAATCCTAGGTCGTAAACCTTCAATGTTCCTAGGTGGATTGTTTTTCCTTGTCGGTGCATTATTGAATGGATTTGCAGTAAACATCGCAATGCTCATCGTCGGTCGTTTATTGCTTGGTTTTGGCGTGGGGTATTGTAACCAAGTAAGTTAACATTAACATGTATAATACTTAAGGCTGTCGTCACTATTAAACTTCTTTACAATTAGGGATATATATAGTTTTCTTTCCTATGATTTTGCAGTCTGTTCCTGTGTACTTGTCTGAAATGGCTCCAGCACAAATAAGAGGAGCACTTAACATGGGATTCCAAATGATGATCACAATTGGTATTTTGGTCGCGAACCTTATCAACTATGGAACTGCTAAGTATGAAAATGGATGGAGAATTTCATTGGGTATTGGAGCAGTGCCTGCATTTTTTCTGTGCATTGGATCTCTCTTCTTGGGTGACACACCAAACTCCATGATTGAACGAGGCAAAACTGAAAAAGCTAAGGAAATGTTGATTAAGATTCGCGGAACTGAAAACGTTGATGACGAGCTTCAAGATCTCATTAATGCAAGTGAAGCAGCCAAGCAAGTGGAACACCCATGGAAGAACATTGCACAGTCTAAATACAGACCCCAAGTCACTTTCTGCACTTTGATTCCATTCTTCCAACAACTTACAGGCATCAATGTCATCATGTTCTATGCTCCAGTTCTTTTTAAGACCCTTGGCTTCGGTGCTGAAGCATCTCTCATGTCGGCAGTTATTACAGGACTCGTTAATGTCGTAGCCACACTGGTCTCTATCGTCACTGTTGATAAATTTGGAAGGAGGATTCTCTTCCTTGAAGGTGGAATTCAGATGCTTGTTTGCCAGGTAACATATACATAAAACTAAAGACTATCTTTATGTCTCTTAGATTTTCGAGGAATTGACATGTTAGAACTTATATTGCTTTCAGATTGCCGTGGGAGTGATGATAGCTTTGAAGTTTGGAGTGAGTGGACAAGGTTCGTTTAGCAAAGGTGAAGCAGACTTGCTATTGTTCCTGATATGTGCATACGTGGCAGCATTCGCATGGTCTTGGGGACCATTGGGATGGCTTGTGCCAAGTGAAGTGTGTCCTTTGGAGATCAGATCTGCTGGGCAAGCCATTAATGTTGCAGTGAATATGGTGTTCACATTTCTCATTGCTCAGATATTTTTGCTCATGCTTTGCCACTTGAAGTTTGGTCTTTTCTTCTTCTTCGCTGCTTTTGTTGTCATAATGACCATTTTCATCACTTTCTTCCTTCCTGAGACCAAAGGTATTCCTATTGAAGAAATGAACTCAGTGTGGAAGTCACACTGGTTCTGGTGCAAGTTCGTTCCTCATGACGATGCTCCAACAAAAAGTGTTGATCAAAAGTCCACTCCTTGAAAGCTGAGAAAATATTATTAATGGTGAAAATATTTTCAGTTATATACGCGGGAAGTGAAAGGATGAAAAGAATAAAAAAATTTCATCAAAATAACGTTGAGACAAGAGTCAGAGATTGGATATGGCTTTATTGTCTACGCACATCATTGTACACTCTTATGCCAATATGATTAACTTGCTTCTGTGTTGAGTTGTGCAAGGTCTATGAGAATTCTGTGTGTACTCTTTCATATATTTGTACACAGATATCATTTTGCAATAAAAAGGCAACCATGAGGCTCGTCATGCCTGCATGGAAGTTTACTATTTTGCTGTAAAGTTGTTTGTTCGTCTACTTATAATTTATACATTGTTGAGATTCAAGAGTTAATGGTTGCCAGACAAACCATTTACAATTGGGCAAAACTAATAAATATATTTCAATGTGACTTATAATTATAAGCAAAACTAATGGGAGACTTTTAGCAAGGAAGAGGATACATTGGAATATATACATTTTTAGAAATTGATTGAATAAAATAAAAAAAAAATTGGTTATGTTCGCTTCAATCTATTTGGTTTACCATTTTTTGGGAGAAAAAATAGGAAGAAAGGAAAATTTTTTTGCTAATTTTCTTTCTTCCATATTTTCTTCCCATTCCACTTTTACTACTAGAAAAATTGTATTTAGTGAGGGACAATACCATTTTTTCTAACTAAATTGCGTTTTAATGAGGGATTTTATCCCTCGCTAAATTTATAGCTTAAAAAAGGCTTGCTAAATTTAGCGAAAGATTATATTTCACTCATTAATTAGCAAGGGATTTAGCAAATGACTGAATCCATCACTAAATCTCTTGTTAATATTATTCAAAATTTGATAATTTAGTGAGGGATTAGTCTCTCACTAATTCCTCGCTAAATATGCCTTTATTTAAAAGTAGTGATGCCACATCACCTGCCATATGTGCGTCAACTTGTAACATGTTACCAACAACTTCATGCCTCATCAAATCATCATATCACCTATCATCTTGTGCTCTATTACTTGCCACATGTGCAACAACTCATGACATGTCATTATTCACCTTGTGCCATGTCACTTGGTCCTTATTATATTATATATTCATTATATTTATGCCAAACTCAAGACTTGAACCTTTAACCTCAAACCTTCTAAGTCTTATGCTCTCCTTTTTTGTCAGTTGAACTGAAAGGCACCTATAGTTATTATATGAGAAATTAAATATATATTATTTAATTATATAAATATATCAAATAATATATTATAAAAAATACACACATATATACATATTAAATTTTATTTTCAATTTTTAATATGTTAAAAATATTTATATTTTATTTAAATTATCCTTTACATTATATTTTTAATAAAATATTATTTTATTAATGAAAATCAACTTCAAATAAATAATATATTAAATATTAAATAATTTTATTATGAATATTTTAGTTAATTTTTAAATTTAATTTTTATTTTTAAATAAAAATAATTAAACATGTAATTAAAAGTCATTGCAAATTTTTTTTTTTTGCAGTAATTAGTTAGGAATAAAATCTCTCACCAATTATCTTATTTTAGAGAGGGATTGGTAATCCCTCGTTATTTTCCTCACTAATTGTCTTACTTTATAAAAGAATTGACAATCTCTCACTATTTTCCTCACTAATTCTCTTATTTTAGAGAGAAATTGGTAGTCCCTTACTATTTTTCTCACTAATATTAAGTTAAGCTATTAAATTGATATCCCTCGCTAATATCCTTGCTATTCAGTATTTTAGATAGGAATAAAAGATCCCTCACTAAATTTCCTCGCTAATTTATATTTTTTTAGTAGTGTTTTTTTCTTTGGGTTATTGGGCATTTTAGACCTTGAAGTATTGCTTGGAAAGCTCGTTGGATCCTAAATTCTAAAATGTGCAAAATGAATCCTAACTTTTAAATTTATAGTAAATTAAACCCCACCATTAACTCATCATTAATGCCATTACTGTTCATCAAGTGGGGCCCAATTAAAATGCTAATGTAGCAGTCCCTTGCTGATATGTCACTTTTAATGAGCACCACAAATTCTAAACTATTGATCGAGTAACATCATAGACCCTGAACTTTTAAAATTTAGAACAAATTGCCCCTACCATTTATATGTAAAGTGTTGACTATTATGTAAATTAAATTAGCCTCAAGGACACATAATTTTGTAAAATGTACGGTTAAGCGACCAACTCAGTATTAAGCATAATTAATAGGTAAAAACATACTTTAATCCACTAACAAGATCATAGTTACTCTAGGTCAAGAAGAATCAGCCACTAATAGCCATGAAAATATCAAAACTCAATAGAATATACATTCAAATGAAGAGAAAAGGGAGAAGAAAACATAGGAGGAATGATTTCTATCACAAGTTGCAAGACTAAAGTATTCCCCAAGCTTCTCCAACTCTTTCTCCACCTTAAAATGCTCCCTAGATGTGCAATTGCTAGTTGAAGATGAACTCCACAAAAAATGGTCTTCGTGAACATTTAAAATTGAAATTGAGTGAAACTGTGTGTTTTGCTGAAAACTATTCTGATTTCATGACATCCAAATTGATGCTACAACAACACTGAGCAGAATTCAAATTTAATGTGGGTTTTAAAATTGTCAGCTTTGGGCTCATAAATTGGGCCACCCTATATGAATAAAACTTATATTTAATGCCATAATTGATCCAATAGCTTCTACAATTTAAAACTTATCCGCACCCATTCTTACAAATAATCATATATTAAATCATATATGTGTTAATTAATAACACAAGATGACTTCCAATTGCATTAAAAACTCTATTAAATTCATTAAAATATTGAAAGTCATCAAACCCTATAGTTGAACATTAGCTTGTTCTTACGCGGAAGGAAATCACTGTACAAACCAAACCAAAGAAATTATGAACATTGTAAAACTATTCAATAACAAGCATGCACCTCCATATCGGTCAATGCTAAAGGAAAAAAGTGAATTGTCTAGGACACCTGGACCATGTCCCTTGGATGCCAAGCCCTTCATAATTCTATGTCCAATTGGGCTACCTAGAACTCTTTGCACCCAAGCCCAATACCATCACTTTCACCGTCCATGGATGTGGGTGCTATGTTTTTCTTGCAACTAAGGCTGAGGGATTAGAAGTGGAGACCAGGCCCACTCGGAGGCACTCCTAAGTGAACTCGAAGCCTTACTTGCAAAATGCCAACTAGTGCCCGACACTCCTCATAGGTTACCCCCTTCATACGAATGTGATCACCAAATTATTTTGCAACCCAAAATGGATCAGACGGCAAGATATCATTCTTCACAGTCTTAAACAACAATTGCTTCAAGCTCAAGCACATATGAAGAAATATATCTTAAGATGTGCACCGTTGAGATGAACTTTCACTATTGAAATGTTGCCATAGTGAGCCTGATAATTTGTATTTATAGTTTATTGTTACCACTGATGACTGAGCTAGAAGTTCCTGTCTTACCCACTGCTGTTTTAAGCTCATGCACTATCCAAAGAGGTGGGTTCCCTAGGTTCTGATTCATTAGGATGGGTACCCAGAAGCTAGGTTGTTATGTATTGGCTCGAGTTGCCAATGAGAAGGTGTCTGTTTTGTCATCAGTTATTTCTCCTTCTTCCTAAATATACTAGAGGTATTATTATGCCGTTCATAGAACTGAGAACATAAATACAGAGGGAAATCACAAATGATAATACTTGGAGTTGAGTTCTGTTGATTTCATTATCGCTTTACTTTCAATTACAAGTCGTGACACTCATAATTCAGATAATCCCATGAGTGCTGTTCATCTATTAAGAACAAGCATGTTTTGCAATAAATAGTAAGGGCTTGTTTGGTTTCTTTTTTCAAAAATAATTTTTTGTTTTTAAAAAAATTTAAAAAAACTCATATAGTTATATGTTTTGGATTTAATTATTTTTAAATCTGTTCTTATTTTTTATTTTTAAAAATAAAAAATAGAAACATGTTAAAGTGTTTTTGTTTTATTTATTTTTTTCAAAATGCCTTAAATTTGAGAAAACTGCTGTCATTTTAATCTATTACTATCATAAGCCTCTACCATTAACCAGCAATGACATTACTATCAATTGATTTTTAATGATAGAACTGATTTTTAAATTAACACAACCAAAGGGTCTTTCTTGTTATTTTGTTTTGAAAAATAGTTTTAAAAACTATATTGCAAAGGGAGAATGACAAATATGTTCCAAGGGGATTAATTAATTCAAATTAAAGTCCAACCAATTTTAAAGTGCTAAATTCAAATGATTTGCATATTCAACTCTCAATTTTCTAACTTCGTTATAATGAATAAAACTTGGTATTTTAAATTTTAATAAAGAAAACAAGTTGCAAATTCATTACGATGAAGTTATAAAATTGAAAACCAAACTTATAAATTCCTGAAATTTGATACTTTGAAATGGTTAAGACCTAATTTTAAATTAATTAGTTCTCTTAGGACTTATCTATCAATATTCTCCTAATTATAAAACAGTTTTTAAAAACAAAAAATGAAAATAAAAACCAAACATGCCCTAAATAACTACAACCAGAATGCAAATTTTTTTGGATTTGCATGGATCATCTTTAACATATTGTAATACAATACTACTAGACAGAGTGAAGGTGGTGAAAAAAAAGGATGACTTACATTTAAGAATCACTCAAGTAAATTAATTATACACAAGGACTAACAACAAGTCTTATTTTATGGGGAAAAAGTTTACATTTTCATTTTAATAATAATTCATTTTGTATTAGTCATTATTTATGAATAATTTACTTAAATGGTCCTTAAATGTAATTTTCCTAAAAAGAATGAGACTCATTTTGCTCGAACGTAACGATGACTGCTGAATAAACTAAATAAATTATATATAATGTCAAAAAATTTCTGTGTTTATTGATATTAAATAAAAATCCAATATAAATGAAATGACGCCTGAAATAATTAAAGAAACTTATGTGAAGCAGAGTGACTTCATAAATGACATGCCTGCTTAAGAAAGACATTATATTAGGGCCACAAGCAACAGTTTATTTTAAGTGAATATTCGTTTCCTCATATGTACCCTAGGAAATGTCAAAGTAATGATATGTGCATATATCAATATTTTAAAAATTAGAATGGAAAATTAACCAAAAAAGTCAATAGATCACGGTTTAACCAGACTTTTTTATTTAAATGATATTTAAATGAAAAAAGCGTAAAAATGGTTCAATCATTCCAAAGTTTTGAGGTTTTTTTTTTTTTTTATCTTCAAAAA